CCATCCATCTATGTCATAAAAGCTACAAGCATACCAAATTTCAAATCGATATTAACATTTTTTATCGAGTTATCGCGCGCACAACGTTTTTCACAAAAAAACCGATTAACGGCAATATTCCTAGACTCAGCAGTGATTGGTCTATGTATTATGAATGATTCAGGTAGAGATCATCGAGACGAATATTTTGAAAAAAAAAAGTTGAAATCGGTGCATTTATTGAGGAGATATAGCTGAAAAACGAAATTTAAACAATTGGCAATATCTCAGGAACTACTGGACCGATTGAGCCCAAATGGAGCCACAAAGTGGGGCTTATTCATAGCTATCATCAGTAAAAATTTCAAGTTTTTATCTGCGAATTTCACCGTATTTATGTTAAAATTTCTAAAAATAAACCCCCAAAACAGCCATTCTGCACATACATACGTACAGACGCAACCTCAAAAACATCATTTTTTCACGTTTCATGACATTCTAGATCATTTGCAATGAAAATTAGAAAATCGAAAAATCGACCAAAAATGATGCTTCCCTTCGGAAGCAAAAAGGACTATTTGGAAATTAAATTTGGAAAACTTAATTGATAATTGTTATTCTACACATCTTTTGAAAAATTTTGAAAAAAAAATCTCTGTAGCTCGAGAATTTATTACACTGGACTGTAGTCCAGTACATTTCAATTTTCAAGCATTTGAGGGGCAAACGAACAATAAACAATAATTTTATTTGCATTAATTCTTCGTTTTTCAACGATCTCCATTGTATGATGAATCTTACTGTAATATTCCGCGAAAATCCATTGGTATTGGTTTTGAGTACTATTACTACTTGTCTCAAGTATTTTTTCTACTTTTGGGAAATACAGCTCGGTACTCAGTACAAGTACTTTCAGTACTGATGATGAGTACAGTTGGTACTTATCACCAGTGCTAATTGTACTTGGAGCATAAAACTTGTATTCAGTCGATTTTCGACTTGGACCAAGTAAAAAAATTAGCTTTTCTCCAGAAACGCCTCGCTACTGAATACAAGTAGTTTTCCTACTTATCAGAAGTCATCTTTTTTTAGAGTGTAGTCATCAAATTAATACATACAATTATTGAAACGAGTGCTTGAACATAAAATTAATTTTCCTTTTTTCTCGCAGAGCCAAATGCGGAAGGAGACCAATGCCAACTGGCTTTCGACTTCATGAAATGTTTCTACAAGGGTTTCCCAAATGTAAGTTCTACTAAAAAAAGAAACTGAAATTTCCAATTACAATCAATGTATTGTTCTTCTTTTCAGGACTTCTTCGTCCTGTAACAACTTTCAAGAGGGATCTCTGCTGTGTGACGGTATTCTTCCCAACATATAACCGATTACAGATTTGTTAATTTCAATTAATATTTACAATAAAATGAAACGTTTATTGCAAACAAATGCCTTATTCGACATTCTTAAGAGAGGCGATACCTATGCGGCTCAGCAGCCAATACCGCTCACCTTATTTTCTCCACAACCACTTATTTTCCCCACACTGTCTCTCACGCAATCTGAGAAATCTTCTATTAGTACGTAATTCTTCCGAAAAATTTGGTTTTTTCGCCCCTTTAAATGACAAAACTAGCACTCCACGATTTTCAGGCCTTACGATGTGATTTCTCTGGACCAATACGCAAGGTTTTTCACAATGAAAATCGACATAATATCTCAAGAATCATTTTTTGAGCGAAAAACATCGCATACATATTAGATTATTTTATCATAGGTTTCAGACAAGAAATCGGTGCTCTTCGTCCTAAGGAGGAAGTTATTGAATGAAAAGGCGATGTCTTTTTTTGAAATGAGATAATGTTCCTCAAAAGACAAGAATAGTTTGACAGAAGAGAAAGAAGATATTGCCTCCCTTCGAACTCGACGCGATTGAGTGTAAGCGACGGTTATATTTTTTTAATATCTGGAGGTTTTCCTCGTCATAAACTCTCTATTCATTCAAGTTTCTGATTCATGATTCACTAAATCGAAGTTTTTCACATTTTTAGTCATTTTCCCATTTTCTGACATGAAAAAACCGATTTCTTGTGGCAAGAAATTCTCACTTTATCATTTCAGTACTTTATCCAACCCTATGCATGCGGTTGGTAATTCTACAGTGTACCGCATTCGCATTCCTATAGAACATAGGAGTAGCATGGAAAACCACAGGAAACCCATGCCGGCATAGGCGGTTGATCTATTAGCAAACTCCTGCTCGCCGGAGCCTTCCGTTGAAAAATTCCACGGAGAATCGAACTCACAACCGGGCCACCGATGTCGGTATGGAAATCTATTTTAAGAGATATTTTCGTATCATGAAAGAAGAATTTGAAAATGAGAATGTATTGAAAGAAAATAAAATGTTCAAATGAAATAGAGCCGTAATATTTCACTCTGATTCCCCTAAAAAAATATGGAATTATCGTTGATGTACCACTTTCACATTTTCACAATATCATTTTGTTCTTATTCATTTCCATTTATTAAATAAAATCTGAATGTCATTCATTTCAGTGAATCACCCAACAGCGGAGATGTTTTCATTTAGACAGCTATTGACTAGATGTTAGGTACTGAGCGATATAGGAATTAGACTGAGCGATATCAGCTGCATGTGGCCGGTACCGCTTACTCAGCTCCTGTCTCCATTTTTTAATAATTTATCGGAATTGAAACAAGAATTGAGAATCCAAAACTCATAAATATGTAGCTGAAAAATGCCAAAGAATGCTATGCGGCTGTAATTTTTATTGGAAATCATAGTTTGGGTTGTGAAAATTTCGATATTCCTTCCCTCCTGGAAAGAACATATATCCGGACATATATCTCAGTATATTTCACTTATATTTCAGCCAAAAATGTCATATGCCAGATATATCCTAGATATAAATATGCACATATATCTCGATGGAAAATATTTAACATATATCTGCAATATATCTCAGATATATTTTCGGCCAAAAATGTGGTATGCCAAATATGTGTTAGATATAAGTGCTGCATATATCTTATTCCCATAAGGGTTAGGTGAGCAGGACAGACACCACGAATTCATCAAAATCATTCTTAACCCAGAAGGGAGTAACTACCTCAGAATATTACTCCATCCATTACTTTGGAAGTAATTACCTCAAACAAATTCAGTCTCCTCACCATACAATCAATTAGAGATGCACAGATCTCAACTTCTACATCCGTGATGAAAGCTTGCTTGCAGTTGGACTCTGTGCTAAGGAACTTAATGGAGCCTGATACAGTCATCTTTAGTTGAAGGAAGTTGATGTTGTTGATGGGTTTGCCACAGACGACGCGATTTGGTTTCGAATGAAATGCCTCAAGCGCACACCGGCATAGTTACAGGTGATCACCGCATTAACACATCTTCGTGATGTTTTACATAATATTTTGATGCAATTTCCCATCACCTTTCGTTGTTACCTGCATTTCATATTAGTCAGACTTAATAAATACAAAAATAATGATTTATAGCTGACATTGAAGCTATCAGGAGTAGACAATGGCCGGAGTCAACACCTGTACTCTTTACGCGTGTGTTGTTCGGCCCACTCGATATTTCTATTATTGATTCTCACAGTTGATACATCACCGCTTAGTTGTTGCAAACTTATATTTTCCATAAAAATTGACCGATTTTCAACAATCAAAATTCATTCTGTTTGTTAGGTTTTTGGGAATATTGTGTGCTTAAAACATTTTTTCATATTTATCAAAATGGCAGCGTAAAACGCATTGAAATTAGTATATTGTGTAATAAGGACGGTAAGGGGAGGCTTGTGAGGAATGTGAAGAAGAAATCCTTCTCACACTTACCTCTCATAAAACTACCTTTTGCGAGTTTACCACTCCAAAAAAACCAAATAACGAAAGAAAAAACTGAAAATACTGGAAATACTGAAAAAATGGGATGTTCTTGAGATTTCCTCCTCAGAAAAAAAATATGAAAAAATACTGAAGGTATCGAATTTCAATAGAAATCCAATATAATTTTCTAGGGAATTCACAAAATTTTTCTATGACATTGCTCCGCACATAGGAGAATGTCAAAAGACTTTTTTTGAAGTTATTGAAGTTTTGATCATAATATTTTCTGACATCTTAAAAGAAAAAGAAAAGAAATGAAATATGTTAAAAAAATTGAATTCACCTCAATTGTATCAAAAATTGAGAAGTATCATCACGAATATGCGAAGAAAAAGGATGATGGTACTTCCTCCTCTCAGAAAAGATGAAAAATTTTTGCATAAAAGTGAAACGTATAATTTTCTTCCGAACAAAACTCACAAAAAAAAGAATCAACAAGATGGTATTTCAACTCTTCTGTTATCAACAGGGTAAACAGAATAGCTCAATTGCATACCCAAGCGACGGCCATATTAGCGAGATTCGCCAAAGCCATAGCCATAACGACTCGCTTCATGTTGGACTTGTATAAAAGTTATGTGGGTTATGCATCTAGTAACTGTATGATTTTACGAACCAAGTGGCGGTAACCCTTAGTTACCATACCCGATCTCATTTTACGGTATCGTCCTGCTAAACGCCATTGCCCCCCCCCCTCCCCGCCCCAACACATCCACCGTAAGTACCACTTATTGGGCCTCAGTGACGAAAAATTAATTTGTTTATAACTATTGACTGCATAAATGTATTGCGGACTGAGTTACAAATTCCGTTTCACCACATTGAAAAACATAACATAAACAAATTTCAACTATTCACATGAATTTCATACATTTTCTATCGATGTGTGCACTATAGGGTTGGGTAGAGTGCTGAGCGGAACCCGAAAAGGTACTCGAAGGCCGTAATAACAAAAAAGATTCAATTGGGAAGCAGTGTCGATTCCCACCTATTCACCAATATCGGAATTGGAAAAAGTTGCGTGTGCCCTATTGAAAAACTGAGGAGAAGGACACGAGTTCAAATGGAAATATGTAAATTCTATGTCACCTAAAAGGAATGCGATCAGTGGTATCAGAGAGGACGTCGAAGAAACAACGTGACCAATCCCCGAATTGTCAAAAAAAATCAATGATCAAGAGGCTTTTAGTTACACCCGCAGAAGAAAGTAGGAATCACGAAAGTGGATTCAGAGATCATTGATATCAAGGGATCTAATTAACAAGCAATTTTCACGACAAAAAGGGAGGCAGGACGCAAGAATCGTCCCTTCGAGTTGTAGCCAGGTCAAGTTACCAGCTAATTCTAAGTCAAAGATCGAAGTCATGAGGTCCAAACTCCTCGTGGTTTTTGTTGATCATCATCTGCTCACCAAGTACAAGTAGTGGGCCTGTATCAACATCAGTCCAGCGGAACCAGTCAACTACCTGAGCTTCTATTCACATACCCACTATTTCATCATCCATTCATCGACGGAGATCGTCTCCGCGGTGTTCCACACCGGTTGAGTGAATCAACTGGCGATCAACGCTCCATCAGCCACAGAAGGACCCCCCACAGCGCCCAACATAAACAGCAGACTCAATGCTGTGACTGAGTAAACTCAATCGACCAACTGTAAGTGTCCTTTATTATCCAAATTCTGTTCTCTTCTAAGAAGAATCTTCTTTATTCCTATTTTCCCTCTAGCGGTTTTCGTCCTGGGTCCACATGAAATTGAGTCATTCATTGGATAAATAGGTTAATTAGTGTAACTTGGTCTCTTTCTTCCTTTACGCGATGCATGTTCGTTGTATTTCAATACTGTACTCCAAACATTACGATACCAACCAATTCGATAAAAGGAGATAATTAATTTCCTGCTTTTCTTGCTGATCATTGTAGTGATTTCCAGTCGTGACTAGTGATGGTCTGGTGAGAGTTAGCAAGTAGATAGTCTTGGTCATTCCAAAGAATAAAGTTAAGCATCCGTTTTACTCTATTCACAATAGATCATGAATAAATGGATTTTGAATTTTATAAATTTTTCACGTCTCTAGAGTAGGACTACAAATTCATTGTTTTTAGTAATTGAACATTGTAATCATGCGTAATCGAATTTTTATGAAAACAAGTGGATAATCGCATTTTCTGAATGTAGGGGTGACGTTTAGAGTTTAACCCATGAGTTAAACTCAATTAAGAATCTTCTGTGTGTATAATCCTTTTGTTCACTATTTATTGGTCACTTAAACCTCGGCTAGTTTCGGCGATGAGCTCACGGGAGATTCGCTCATTCGAAGGGATGTTGGACGAAGGATATGAAGGGTGAAGTTCTCAATAACCATTTGCGTGCTTAACTTAAAAGGATGATATATTAAGCTAGTTGTTGAGATACACGATAGTGATCAATATGGGTTGGTATGACGCGTTATTAAATGTGGAGGAGCTGGAATGTCCGTCCAGCTTCACTCCCGATCGTACTCTGCTCTCTGGTGAGTCCA